GGGGATTGCGGTTTTTAGGGGGCTTGGAGGGAGGGAATGGAGTCAATTTGATGGCGAAGGGTTATTACAGGAATCTAGCGCAGGAATCTATCACAGAAATCTGTAATTTTTCATTGGGAATCTGTTGTTGGAACGGCTGCTTATTATTGAGGGAGTTGAGGGATCAAGGTTTATGTTGTTGATTTATGTGGATTGATTTTTAGGATCTTGAGTGGAAATTTCTTTTCCTGATTTAATGATTGATGAGGATGTTTTATTGTTCGTGAGAATATCTTGAGTACAACTGGTTTTGGGGAGAAATGTCTTCAGACGTTTTTTGTAGATTATTCAATTTTGAGCAGAAAATTTCTTATGACCTTTTATCGCAGATCAACTCGTTACTGAGGTAATTGCGTAATTAACAAGGCGAAATTTCATTTGACTTACTTTGTAATTCCGGGAAAGATTTTGTTATTTATGAAAGTATCGAAAAAATGAGTAGTTTTCAAGAATAAATTTTGAACAAGATAGTTAAAAAAATTTTTTTGTAGTTTAAAAATCGAAAAAAAAAGTTGATAAACAAATTTAATGAAAAAAAAATTTTTTTTGCTCGAATTGCGTCAAATAATCGTTTTTCTGCTGTTCCATTTTGTCCCACTCTCCTCTAAATAATGACTATTCTTGCAAATTATTCATGGAAGTATCTCGAAAACAATTGGTCTCAGAAAGAAATGACAAAATAAATTTTTTCTATCAAAAAAAATGATTGAGAAACAAAATGAGAATTGTTAATGATAGAATCAATGCCAAATAAAATGCAAACAATTTTCCTGAAACGGTTTACCCCAGGTTTATGAAGAGGACGGCCTGCCAAACATGATCTGCCACCCCTGCAAGTATCAACTCGACAAGTCCTACCAGTTCAAGAAGAAGTGCGAGGCTGCTGACGCCAAATTACGAAAGCACATGAAGTTGATTCATCGACTGAGTGGCCAGGGCGAGGAGGAGGAGGCGAGTCAGGACGACGGGAACGAGTCTGGTGACGAGCCATCCGGCAGTGGAAAGTCTCGTCAAGTGAAGCAACTGCTCGCTGATCTTGTCGCGGTGAAAGGGGATGGCAGTCAGGCCGACGGAGATCCGATCGAGGTGACTGAGGAGGAGCTCGTTGGAGGATACATTCTTGGTGAGAAAATATCAAGTGAAACCTTGAAAATTCCCATTTTCCTTAAATTATCATCAAGCAGGGAACAAAAACTTGAAAAATGAAATTATTGCAAAATGACAATTTTGGTTAATCTGGAGAACGAGTGGATTTACGAGAAAATGTCCGAAGAACTTTTTTGTGGAGAATTTTGTGAGCTACAAAAAAGATCTTGTGACATTTTTTCATAAACCCACTCGTTCTCGAGGTATCACCAAAACACTTCAAGTGAAAAACCCCAATTAACTTCAAGTTCAAAAGGAAATTTAAATTGATACTGTTTTTTAATAGGAATAAGTAGTTATGATGTTGAACTGTAGTATATATCAGAATCAATGCCACAGAATTGTTTGCATTTTATTTGGCATTGATATCTAAAGTTAAATTAACTAGAAATGCCCTTTCCTGTCAAGTCTGCATTAACCCCCAGACCATTCTAAAATACAAAAAAGTCCCATAAGAATTTTTTCCCCGAAAATCTAATAATCCACAAAAAGTTGTCCATTTTCCCCTAAACCAAGATATCCCCAAAGAGCAGCCCCCAAATTCCCCTCTGACTCACCAACCCCTTACCCCCAGGAATGAGTGCTGAGAACATGGACAACGAGGAGACAATATCGGAGGGTCCCTCCAACATAACCCTGATCCCGGCCGAGGAGAAAACGGCAAAGGCCCGTTGCACAATGCGTGCAGCTCGCATAAAACAAGAGCAAGAGTCAGAGGACGACGGGGACGAGCTCCAAAAAGCGATATCGACAGTCGACCGAAAGAGCGTCTACATGATGGAGTTGACGAGTCACATGTCGAATCAGTCTGAGAACCTCCAGCTGCAGCCAATGGGTGACTCCCTGGTGGAGGCTAGCGAGGAGATGAAGGTCTTCAAGTGCGATCAGTGCCCGAAGGCCTTCACCCGAAGAATAATGCTGAAGAGCCATCAGTCAGTCCACTCGACCCAGCGAGGCTTCACGTGTCAGGCCTGCGAGAAGTGGTTCCCAACGAGATCAGCCCTGATAAGACACGAGCGCACACACACGGGTGAAAAGCCCTTTGGCTGCAACATCTGCCATCGTGCATTCGCCCAGAAGGAGATCCTCCTGCGTCACCTGATGACTCACTCTGGGCAGAAGCCCTTCCAATGTCAGGATTGCGACAAGAGTTTCACACAGAGGGAGGCCCTGAGGGTCCACATGAGGCGCCACCAGAAGCTCGATCCCAATGACATTCAACTGCATCACTGTCAATTGTGCCCCAAGGCTTTCTGCCATGCCTCTGGACTCAGCAGACATCTGGTCACTCACACTGGGAGAACTTACAAGTGTGTCGAGTGCGAAAAGTCCTTCACTGATAAGAGCTCTTTGCTGAGACACAGTCGCATTCATGCACCCAAGAAAATGTAAAATTAAGAGAAGGCTATTCCATTTTTTTCGGTTGGGGGTGTCTGAGGGAATAGCGGGCTTTCAAAATGGATTTTTAGCTTCTCTGTTCTGTTATGAATTCGTAAACTAGGATAAGTGCATTTTTTTTTCGCCAAATCCCGTCCGCAAATTGTTGGGAAGTGATTTGATATTTTTTAAAACGCATCTGCGAAACAAATGCACTTGTCCTAGTTTATCAGTTCACAGAGTTGTCACTGAGATTTTTTCATTGAAACGAAATGATGCAATATGAAAATGTAAAAGGCAAAGGAAAATTATTTCATTGTATTATTTTTTTAAATGAATTTTTCGCCAAATTTTTTATTTAGCGGGCGACAAATTTCACGCGAAACCCCAATCACAATTCATGATTATCATTTTTTTTTCATTTCTCTGAGTCTATTTTTCTCATTTTGAAAAGTAATTGACATAACAGAATTAATGCCGAATAAAATTTTAAAAATCCACTCAGATACCCCCAATGCACTTATCATTACTCTAATTAACGCAGATCCCATAATTCTAAGATTCAGTGAAACATTTCAATGCGAAAATAACTTTAATTTCATAAAAATTATTTCTGACTGCTGAGAACGGTTGGATTTAATTCGAACTTTTTCAACTTCTTATCACCGATGATTGATACGTGAGGCTAATTTTACTGTATATATTCATGTTTCGAAAATTATACATTTTTTATGTACCGGAGTCCAAATTGGGGGGGGGGG